GTGAGTCTGACAAAAAATGAATAATCGCACGGTTTTAACGAAGGCGAACAATGGCATTCCAACTGAACAAGGCCGACAAACATAGGAAGTGAACTGACACAAGAAGGATTTCAGAAAGCGTTCAAGAAAGGGTTCAATTAATTTTCTGCTCAGTTGAACCGACTACCTAGATATCAGAGACTTTATATTGAAACACAGCACACACAGCGATTGTTGCCGGCTACACAGCGTATGAAGTACAGTGACATGAGACATGTCCGTGGGATGAGTAGTTAGCCTTGGCCCGTTGAACGGAAAGCTATGTTAGCTTGGATTGGACCGCAATCGGTGTCTGGTTTTGTTGTTAGAAGTGCAGATTTGCAAACACGAGAACCTTATTGGAATAGAAAAGAATCTAATCCATAAAAACAGAAAATCGCCCGTCGCCGACCTTTATTCAACTTTCTCCGAGATATCTCTGACACACGAGATCTTACAATGATAATGTGTTATTGCACAGCTTAACTCACCGTGATATTTTGTGGCCGTGAGGTTGGCCTACTAACGCTTCAGACTTTTGATCCTAGCAAAAAACTTTTTCTAGTTTATTTGTATACGGCTGTTGCCTTCTTTCACAAATTACATGAACCGAGACTTGCAACCTTTTGTCAAACTCTAATCGAACAATTTTTACAGCAGAGAGTTAGAAGTATGTAGCTAAATATTAACCAGAAATCTTCTGGGGACAACTTGACACTACGGAGACAGATATTGATTAGGATAGCGTGTTTAGTTGGAGGCCAAACATTCTCAAGGATTCTCTTCTTCCTAACACGCTACCGAGCGATTATTACATATGAAGAGTTCAGCTCAATGGAACTGCATGGACTATCCCATGAAAAGTTACCGCAGACAGCATTCTAGATGCATTTCACATTATTGACGAAAGCCAGGACACATTAACTGTAAGAGCCATTGTTTCAGATATCTGCCGAATTGTGTTCACAGGCCACATGAATGCCATTACGAGTAGGACATGTATAATGGTTGCTTTCCGAAGACCATTAAAATCAGGCATAAAATGGTAGAACGTATCACTCTACCTACCTTCGATATCTAGGAACTCCTAAAAGATTCCCGGTCAACTTGTTCTATTGCGTCCCTTCATTTATTCCGTTGCGTAATCGGTGTGAAATTTATGTCAGTGATGTCGTCATTCCAATTAGTAGAGTACGTCATCGACTCGAACCGCCCTCTTTTATGAGGAATTCTATCCAAAGCGTTCTAGGTTCTGTGAAACCCAGGTGATTCGAATGTGCGAATGCTTGAAACCCATGTGAGATCCGACTGGGAACTTTGTTGTTCGACTTGGTCCTAACGTCTCAGCTAGCATTAGTAACCTCCTTCAAGCGCGTCATGCACCCAGATGGAAGGACTCAGCTGACAGGTGGGTATTAAGAGTAATTTAGCCGAAGTATTGGTTTTAAAATCTGAGTGACGGAGGCTGCGTAGGCATATCTGTGTGTATGTGCACGTGCGTTTCACTTGGTTAGCCATATCAATGGAATGTCACGTCGTGAGTGGACAGGTGTGCGTGGGAGCTCTCCTCTGAGATTGTGTGGAGTTTTCTTGATTTCTCGTTCCCCGCCTGATACTGCACTTAATTAGTCTTTGTAATCTGTCAAAAGGTTAGTACCATCATTGAGGCTGATACAATTCGGACGTATGCTAATTTTCGCGGTTTTAGCATACAGACACATCAAACATTACTTGAAGCCAGGATGATTAATGTGGGTTCCGGAAAAATCGATCTGACCATTCCATTAAGATGCACGTAGAGTAATCGATGGGTGGTGTTTGGTACTCTTCAGTTCCGCAGGCCATTGTAGTTGTTTTTACTGTCCCCGGCTTATTCTGCACCTCAGCAGTTTTTCCTCAATGGTTTCCCACGAGAACATTTACACTTGTTGCAGTTACTTCCATTCCCATTTACGGTTGAGTTTCCAGACATACTCGTCATATGCTGGTGTATCAAAGTATTGGCTATCTGTCAAGGTTTGACATAAAACGCATGAGTGCTTTCCACTACCGCTTTATTAGCATGTATTTCATAATACTAAAATGTTGTACTGAGATTTGGTAGTGCTCAATATGACTCTCTTGTTCGAATTTGTCCAATCCATAAGCAGGACTCACTAGAATAGAACAATTCTGGTGGCCTACATGTAGGGCATGAATTCACTTTTGTTATGATTCCAACAGGCTTTTCTAAGAACAACAGCTCAAATCTGGTTTGAATCGAAAATGATTCAACGCACGATGATGGTTTTGGTAGCAAATCACGAAGGAGGGATGCACGCAACAGCGCACTGATGGTGCTCCCACGACTAGTGATGAGATATCTGCAAGCGAATCCTCGGTGAAAAGACCAACAGACACTTGATCCACAACCAAGTAATGGAACCAAGTTACTAATATTCCGATAAACCGAGTGCCTTTTATGTTTTTTTGCAAACAATAAGTTATGGCGCATCATTCCACGGCCTAGAAACGTAGTTCATTCTACACAAATGCAGAAAAAGATGGAAAGAGAAGGAAACAGTCATGTGAGTTCAATTCGCAGTCTTCAGGGTTAAGTCCTGAAAACTCATGGGCATTTTAGCTGGAACTAACAGTATAGGATTTTTTCAGCGATAATTTCGGCTACTAATTCTCGTAAGTAAAACAGATGGCCTGGAACATACCCTCTAGTAATAACAGCTGTTAATATTCGAGAAATACACTCTCATTTGCAAATCAGTCTGGTTTTCACGAGAGACTCAACTGAATCTCTCGTTTATGATATTCTTGTTTTAATCACATGTTTTTAACCACTGAATTTCCCTTTCTAATCATGGTTTGTCTGCGGGTTGAGAAATCTGTTGTTGAAGACGTTTGATGGCTTTGGTTTATGTGAAATCTTTCTTCGTCTTGTTGAGCTTTCATAAGCTTGTAGGACTAGCTAAATGTAAGGTTGGTGGTCATTTACACCGACTAGTTTTTGTCAAGCGGTGCACTTAAATGAAACCCACAAGACGACAGGTATCAGCTTGTAAAATCTTTTTTAGAGTTTCATGGTCAATCATTTGTTTGGAGTGAACGTGGTGCTTGTGAAATACCAAACACAAAATTGTGGTATGTGGTCATAACCGCGCACCAGACTGCGGTAACACTTGTTCATCGTTAGTGCTACACCATGTAAAATTTCATAGAAAATAATCCGACCTCTAACTTACTTCACTTTGACAGAAGCTTGCCAAATAGATCTAGTCCGCGATGTTAACCGTACAGATGCGAAACTGTTGGTGGGCTGTTCTGGTGGTTTAATGGAACTTCTAAGTTGTGCAGATGTAGGGCTTGTTGTTGAATGTCATCTCAATATCTTGGACCGGTAAAGCGCAATAAAAGTGGTCATTATAGAGGAATCGTAGCTTCAGCGAGGCGCACCATAAAGCAGGTTTACCGAACTAGTGTGACGCAGTGCTTTCCGACCTTCTAAAGTATCTATGCTCTGTACAATAATAAGTTGGCTGATTAAGTACCAATACTGTCAACCATATATCTGGTCTTTTAAACGGAGTCTAAATTCTTTTCTTACACGCATGGTTATTCTACGGCTCAGCGGGACGAATAGCCTTTTGGTCGCTATCGCGAAAACCTTGCACTCTGTATGGTTCTTAGTTGAACAGACACCAGTGAAAATCATAATTACAAAAGTCCGAAGGGCAGGAACAAAACCTCATGTGACACTGAACCCATTCACAGTAGGTCTCATGAGATCCAAAGCCAATTGTAGATGTACCCTACCCAGTCAAAATGCAAGATCGAATTAGATAAACATAAGCCAGTAAATGACATCGCTTGCAGTGTTCGCCCGATTTTTTACAATTGTTTTTCATCCTCACGTCTATTAGCCATTGTGTCGAGATACTGTATAGACTTATCTCGAACTGGAGTCAGTAGGATCTGAAAATGCCACTGTCCTAAAAAAGATAGATTTCAGATGGAACGGAGCTAAATTTCCCCTTGTACTCAAAGAGTTGTGTCCAAAGAAAGCGGAGAGGAAAACATAAGGAGATTTGTGCGTCTCAAAATAAATAGGGCGTTTGATTCATATTGATTTTGGTCTACAGATTAGCTAGATATGAATCCTTCTGTTGGTGCGAGAATCGGGTGCTTATAAATGGAATAAACTCCCTTTTGTCTCTCCCGCACTCTTTTACTGACATCAGTTCAGCTAGTTCTATAATTTCAAACAAGTAACGGATCTGTATATGAGGTGGTTCCGTTTACGCTTCAGATCTGCTGGTAAAGTGCTCATACCAATCACCTGATCCCATCTGAGTTAGGAGCCTGCAAAGATGGAATCCAGGGGGGGGGAGATAAACAGAGGAGAGAATTTCACAGTTTGACTGAATGTCAGGGTGAAGATGATACAGTAACTGCGGACTGATTAACTTCATTTTTCGCGTATGAAATTACTGAGTATATCAAGTGGTGGTTAAACGGTGCTTAGCAAAAACCAGTAGACCCAACAGCCACGTAGCTGGTTACACTTTGATCCGTTGAGAAACACTTGGTTCTTCGTGGATATTCTCAGCTAGGTTAAGTTTACACGCCGACTCTGTTGAAAGCGTTCACAAAATGCTACCTCCCTGCCCACTTCAGACATCTTTGGGTGTACTGCCAGAAGACTAACTTACAGTTTCGGCTTATTCCAATCAACAAATGATCTTATCGCACAGTAGACTGATAAATTTCGTTGGAATAAACGTTGTACGATCTTCCGCTGCGACTAACTGGATGAGAGATCCTCCATATTTTTGGGGCAGTGAACTAAACTAAATGAGAACACAAGATATCTTCAAAAATGATTGACTTACATTTATTCTAGAAGCAAAAAAGGTCACATGCACCTGTCTCTAATTTAATCCATGCGTACTTCAAGGTCACTATCGCCAACTTTCTGCCTCTCATTTCAGCTGGGTTCTGCCATTCATGTCATTTCAGAGGAAGAAAGTTTACGTGCAATCGAAGTGGCTAGAGCCGAATGTCTAAGAAATCGATCACTTGATGGTAAGCCAATCCAGCAATTGGATTTTGCAATTATTATGAAGGTAGACTTTGAGTTTCGAAGTAAATTGGGTTGTCATCCCTAGAGATACAAACACTGAATTGCAGTCATTTTTATTGATAGGCCAATTTCCCGCCTACCAGGGAGACTTTGAAAACCAGATGGACCAGGGACGAATTCGGCGGTTCAAATTATTCTCAAAAACTCAAAATAATTCTGGTCCGGTTAGATTGAATGAATGTAGTTCAAAAATGAGAAAACGTGAATACTTGCTGATTTTTGCAAGAGGTGTTGCTACGAATGTTCAACTAGACTTTCGTACAGTAGATTTAGAGTGGTCAGCATGAGGCTTTGCAAATGTGTGGACTAATACGACAGGTGTGGTAACGTGGGTTTATCCATTAAAACACCAACCGCATGGCTAAATTTTTCCTTTGATATTTTATGGGAGAATACGTTGGTAAGAATGTACACCTCTTCAAACCACTTAGTTCGTGATTTTAGCCCTTTGCGTTTCCGTTAGCTCCACGGATTTCCAGACGAAATAAGATGACGTTTGGGAAAAGAAATAAAAGGTCACCATGCAAACAATGCTGGAAAGACTAGGATATTTTTGTTTGTTTATGAATAAGTGTGACTGTTTTGAACAATTCCTTGGATATACGTAGTTTGGTGCCTTGTATGAGTGTAACAATAAAAAACAATGTTACTTTCTTACTTTCAGTTCCCTTCATGGAGCAGTTTTGATGATTCATTCAGATTTGTCGTCGGAATCGTAGCTTCACCAGACATTAAAAATTTCAATTTAAATATCCGGTACAAGTCTTTATACATGTGATGTCAAAGGATAGGATGCATCTCCGAACCAACGTCTTTCCTGGATTTCCCTCTGGTATCTATTCTTGGAGTAAGGGTGTTAGCCCGTGGAAATGTTGCACCAAATGTTCGTGAAACGTCAATAAACTATTTTTTGGCAACATATTGAGCAGAGTTTGACTAAAATCAACCTATGACGCAACCACTGTACAACTCCCAAAGGGTATTTCTAACTTACAAATTAGTTCTTGTTTTAACCTCAAACCAAGCCTCTCGATATTCTTGTTGCAATGAATAGAGTCTTCAACACCCTGGAATAGTTTCAGAATTCGTTTAGTTAGTTTAATTAAGTTTTCTTCTAGGCATTAATCATTTGGCGTGCGTCTTAATTTAATAGGTCCATTACGACTGCAACCTAAAACTGGATATGTGAATATTGCACACAGTGAGGCGTTCCGTTGTAGTTGTCAGAAAAAAATTTCTGACATCTAAGGAACAGCTTCAGAGTGAGCAATGCCAATTCAGAATAATTCCAAAGAGTACAAAACGCGTCCCGTTTGTAATCAGTAGTATTCAGCGACCACCACTATCTTTCAGTACCCGCCGGATTGGCAGAAGATTCTGGTAAAGCTTTCCTCATGCAACCTCACGACATCTCATACATGTCCCACTATCATCATATTAGACGAACACACATTCAAAACCTGCAAAGAACAGCCAGGTGGCATAGAACTGGAGGTGCTGATTGTACGAAAAAGGGCAAAATTCGAGTGAATTCAGGCTAAACGTGTGGAAGCAGGCCAAACAGGAGGATGGAAAAACATAAAATACCCAATGTGGGTTTCCGAGACGTGTTTGTAGAAGTTTATTCCACCTGAAGTGGCGACAGCATTTGAGATAGGACGTGAATCCAGACCTACAGAAACCGTATTGAGAACGGCCCGGAAATTGCGACAATTTTACATTGGCTTATACACAATTACCAGGTTGAACCTTAGATTCTTGCTCATTAGCCGATGGGAACTTCCGATACTTAAGTTTCCATTTGAAGATGACCGTATACGAGCAAGTGACTTGTTGGCATAGTCTTTTTGCTGTCACTTATGGGTCACAATCCTTAGCTGTGTTTGTATCTACCCACCGAAATCACCTGACTTCATCAAAACGGAAGTTGAGATGTGTAATTGGGTTTATGCTGGGCAGCGTCAATTGCATTTGTCTGATGCTAGATTAAAATGAAATTCTTAAAATGACGTCATTTCCATCTGGGCAGTTGCTTGGTCGGTCCGGCATACAGCATGAGAGGTAACTTAATGCAGTTAATAACATGCAAACTCCATTACTCTGCTTTCATAGCCAGAATTTAGGTTATGTTTTTGGGAATGGAGGCCACAATCAGGGCACTATTGTCTAAAAATTAACATTCAGGCAACTGCTGAACACAGTCTAACATACCTATCAATTTGATGTACCGATTTGGTGTACGAGTAACTGCTCCATCGTTGTTCTCTACAAGGTATTAGTTTTTCACAGCTGAACTGTGAAAACGATGAAGAAACGAGGCAGCTTGTTCGCGAATATGATAAACTATGAATTCGGGCTTATGTTCCATTAAAAGTCGGTATTTACGGTCACCTCTGATTTGTATCACCGTAAAGTTGCAAAACAAACTCATGCTACCTTACAATCGTGGGTGTTACCTTTTATATCAACTGGGATTTTGAATGATCACACGAATATGTATGTATGTATGTGTGTATGTATGTATGTATGTATAGTCTTAAGAATACCTGGAATACCGAGAGCTCGAGCAGTTGTTGGCAATCTTGGCAAACAGGTCTAAAGCTACTAAATGTTCCACACACTGAAGCATGAATGAAGAATAAAACCCTGTATTGGTTTCAACAGTTCTTTATTCTACGATGTCTCATTCTTTCACTTAAACACCAGTCCAAATCTGGTTAAAGCTTAAAACCATTCAAAATTTTTATCCACGCAGTTAAAAGTTCAGTCGAACCCTAAAACTGATTCTGCTGAATGAATCAGACTGCCTGTTTTAGAAGTCCGGTTTGTTCAATCATTACCGTGTTGTCTGTTCAGAATTCCATTGAAAGTTTGAAAAGTGACGAAATGGGATTCTTGCATTCACTTCAGAGAAAACGTTGCTCACATTAGCCTGTGACTAACCGCGACTTGTACGGTAGTCTAAATAAATAATCGGATTGCTACTTATTGTTATATCAGGTGTCGATCAACGTGTTTCAAGCTGAAGCGTGATGCATAGCGAACGTGCGGTCAGCTGCAGACTCCAGAGCCACCATTATTATAAACTGGCACACGGCAGCCGCAATGGCACTGGCGTAAGTTACACACTGCAGTAGACGCTGGTTCAAGAGGATGTCAACAGTTTGTACAAGTTCGCAATGTTGTGCTAAACCTGAATGCTCCAAATGACACCATACACCACGCTTGGTCCACCAGGTCAACTTGAGGGAAACTCGAAAAATCGAAGATGAAAATCACGTGAATGAGTTGATCGGGAGGAGCAGTCAATCGGGAATTTACGAGAAAGAAAACGCTAATCATTATGGGTACTGCGTTAATCCGTACATGATTGATTATTTGCTTTGTACAGAAGACAAACGCATACGCCAAAATCAAACGAATTTCACCACTGCCTCTCAATGGTAGGTACTGAGGGACTGATTCAAGGAGGAGGTTGATGCAGGACACCTGCTGCCAGCTTCAAGGCCCGTAATAATTAATCTCGCAATAATTATGAGAATCTCTGGCCGAGATCACTGGACCTTTAACAGTATGAAGTTATAACGTCATTTGATGAAACTGGATATGCTGTATTACGTCACATAGTTACGTCACATAGTTATAGCTAATTCTAAAAATACGCAGTAAAGTTAAGTGACGACCAAGAAATGGATGCGGCCAGTTTCAAGGCCCTTAATAAGTAATCTCACAATAATCATGAGAATCGCTGCCCGAGGTCACTGAACCTTTAACAGTATGAAGTCACAACGTCATCTGCTGCCAGCTTCAAGGCCCGTAATAATTAATCTCGCAATAATTATGAGAATCTCTGGCCGAGATCACTGGACCTTTAACAGTATGAAGTCACAACGTCATTTGATGAAACTAGATATGCTGTATTACGTCACATCGTTTTAGCTAATTCTAAAAATACGCAGTAAAATTAAGCAACGACCAAGAAATGGAATGAATATTTTCGGATGCATCTCAAACACAGACAGTCGAGAATTGGTTTCACGCACATCCACACTAACAAAGGTTATAGGAAGACTACTGCATGTGATGTATAATTGAAATAGGAAGCTTTTGATTTTCGATCTGTCAACGATACCTCCCATAGCAACCCAGTGGGAGACGTTTCTCAGTATAACTTTGTGAATGTGAGACACTGGGTGTTAGTCTGTCCGAAATACGACTTACCCAATATCACCAAGGTCACCAGATTTTTTTCTGAAGTAGAGAAACGTTAGAAGTACAGAGCAATTTGACCAAAATCTCAGTCATTTCTAGGACGAATTTTAGTGTCGTGGACTCAAAACATGTTTGTTGCCAGAATTTGTCACGAAAACGAAAGGAATAAAATCGAAATATGCGTTACTCGTGGATGACAATAGAGTAGGCTCCTAATAAAAAACGTTGAATTCGGAATACCAGGAAAAACAAGAACTTCTGCAGTCCAAATGACGACTTCAAAATGGTCTGAATCTGCTGGGTCACCGAAAGAAATCACTCTTTTTATCATCCAAGAGTTCATGTACGACAAATGTTTAATACGCGCTTTTGGTACCCATCAGATATCCTATTTGAGGATTATCAATAGTAATGCAAGCGCTACTCGATGATTACGGGCTGTTATTTTGAAACGTCCATCAGGTTATAGTGCGCTACTTGACTGCAATTAGTGGACAACTATACTTGGTGACAGTGTTCTCGCTAAACGTGTGCAAAGTGAAGTTGTGCTAGGCTGAAGGATAAAGAGCCAAGGTATGCGATACATCGGGTGGGAAATCTAACACTACTTAGTCGTCTAGGTGAAATTTTCCAGGGTTTCAAATGTATCTGTATGCTGTTAGGAAAGTGAGAGGGTGGATTGTGTGATGTCCCATTCCATTAGGTTGTATCGTTTCAATGCTTCTTACATGTCCATTTTGAAGAAGTGAGGGGTCAGTCGGAAGCCTTAGGCTAAGGGGCTTGACCTCCATGAGAGCTGAGAAATAATCGTGCTGACCACTGACCACGCTGTTCAGGTAGTAAGAAACCATCAAGTAAATCTTACAACCATGTCAATATAATCGAGTACAGGGTTCTGTTCAGTCATAAGCAAAATTAACATCGTATTTTTATAGACTTCGTTAACGAGAAGTCTGTGGTACCCTAATGAAAAAGTTCAAAGCTTGTGACTGATTCTAGGATAACCTCAACATAATGAAGTTCTACTTAAAACTTCCTATAATCAGCTTCGCAGTGATAGACGTTGATGGAGCAGAAAACACTGGTAATTCGCTCAGTAACTTCCCTCATCAAGTCACCAGTTTAACCTTTGTTCACGAACTTTTGCTTTTCTCCACAGAGCAAGCAATGAGGGGAAATCAAGATTTCTGTCTTGCCGAATTCGCTTCAGCAGTCTGCTGGCCAAGCACACCTGGCAATCACACTGTGACAATGCCTTGCCCGCATTATGTGCCAGGCGTTCGCAAACACGGGCAAGTTTCGCGACGTTGCTTTTGGAGCTGTTGATGATGCGACTAACGGTAGTGTCGGTCATTGGCGATTTAGTGATGTTGAGTTTCGGGATTGTTTGGCGGTGGTTGAATCAAGCTCAGTGAGTTCGGTTTCATTTCTTACAGCAATACCCAAATATTTTGCCGTCAGATAATAATGATTGCTCCCTGTTGAGTGAACCAAAGAAGTGCTACAGTTGTATCCCATAGCATGCATTCGTTAATGCACTCATTCGATTGTTTCATTTGACGTTTAGTGCGAGTGTAAGAAGGTGTTTACTAGTAAATACATGGATATTTTAACTTGTCCTGATAATTGTATGTGGCTGGTTCGGTTTCAAGATTGGTACTGGGGATCGATTAGGTGGAAGTGAGAGGGTGGATTGTGTGATGTCCCATTCCATTAGGTTGTATCGTTTCAATGCTTCTTACATGTCCATTTTGAAGAAGTGAGGGGTCAGTCGGAAGCCTTAGGCTAAGGGGCTTGACCTCCATGAGAGCTGAGAAATAATCGTGCTGACCACTGACCACGCTGTTCAGGTAGTAAGAAACCATCAAGTAAATCTTACAACCATGTCAATATAATCGAGTACAGGGTTCTGTTCAGTCATAAGCAAAATTAACATCGTATTTTTATAGACTTCGTTAACGAGAAGTCTGTGGTACCCTAATGAAAAAGTTCAAAGCTTGTGACTGATTCTAGGATAACCTCAACATAATGAAGTTCTACTTAAAACTTCCTATAATCAGCTTCGCAGTGATAGACGTTGATGGAGCAGAAAACACTGGTAATTCGCTCAGTAACTTCCCTCATCAAGTCACCAGTTTAACCTTTGTTCACGAACTTTTGCTTTTCTCCACAGAGCAAGCAATGAGGGGAAATCAAGATTTCTGTCTTGCCGAATTCGCTTCAGCAGTCTGCTGGCCAAGCACACCTGGCAATCACACTGTGACAATGCCTTGCCCGCATTATGTGCCAGGCGTTCGCAAACACGGGCAAGTTTCGCGACGTTGCTTTTGGAGCTCCAGTGTTGATGATGCGACTAACGGTAGTGTCGGTCATTGGCGATTTAGTGATGTTGAGTTTCGGGATTGTTTGGCGGTGGTTGAATCAAGCTCAGTGAGTTCGGTTTCATTTCTTACAGCAATACCCAAATATTTTGCCGTCAGATAATAATGATTGCTCCCTGTTGAGTGAACCAAAGAAGTGCTACAGTTGTATCCCATAGCATGCATTCGTTAATGCACTCATTCGATTGTTTCATTTGACGTTTAGTGCGAGTGTAAGAAGGTGTTTACTAGTAAATACATGGATATTTTAACTTGTCCTGATAATTGTATGTGGCTGGTTCGGTTTCAAGATTGGTACTGGGGATCGATTAGGTGGAAAATGTTCCCTTATGTAGTATTCGCACTCCGTGTTTCTACGAATGAGTTTGCAAACTTTGCCTATTTTCTACACTTGCTGTTCTTTTGTAATAGCGAAGAAAAACAAACTGTGTGCTAACTATAAAATATATTTCAACTGGACTCCCATGGTACACAGTGACTTCTCATCCATTGGTAAAGCCACAACCTCGACTGAAAAAAATACCTGGCTTTTCCACAGATATTCACGGCTGAACTATAAGCTATTTGAGACCGTTTTCTGGTCGCGCTTTGGAATAGGTATGCTTCTATTTTAATCTCTAAAACCTGTCCACGGAGAGTTGACATTTTCCCGTACTAGGCGAGTCTCCCAGAAACTATTCGCCTGTTTTTTTGCACGTCTACTTTAAAAGTTATTCGCAATAGTGAAGTTTTGATTATATCTGAAAATTCGACTGAACTCCAAGTGAATCTCAAATTTTACTTTGTAAGCTAATCACAATATCACATTGAATCTGGCCGATGGAGCACTATAAGTCATTTTGGCGAAAGCTGTTTGACAGCTAATGGCCAGTTTTTCATTCATGAGGCTCGCTGGGTAGACTCAGTTCCGGAGCTTTCGTCGATTTCACGTTCCAGTTGAAATTTAAATGGACCTGGTTCACCTAATAAACTTATCCACAAACAAATTTGGCTTTAACTGAGGACAGCTGAACCTTAGCTGCATCTCCAGTTTATAATATTCTTCGGCTGAATGTTTTGAAATTAGTGTGTTTTGACCAATTGCCATGGTTGCGCGGTCCGTCTGAAATGGATCATCTATCGACGTCTTACCAAGATCCATTGTTTGCGTCTGCGTGTTTGGAGAACTGGGACAAGTTCACCTCGTGGTGTTCAGGCAGCACATGACGATTATAAAATTTAGGGACTGCTTCTACCTGATGAGTCCTACCTAGAGCGGAGGTGGTCATGGATTGTTAAATTTTTCACCAAACTTCGTACTACTAAACAGAAGTTTCCACGATATCTCAAATATCATACCAAGTATAACATGGAGTCGCCCAAGCGCAGCATATTAAGGTGATACGTATAAGAAATCGAGAGATCCAACTGAGAATCAAGTGAGCCCCCCCCGCTAAAGCCAAATTAGTTTTTAAGCGGATGTAGTTTGTCTGGGCCAAGCTTTTTCTCAACGAAGCTCCCTCACATGCTTCGAAAGCTGACAGGGTAACCATATCCGTGTAGGTTAAAAATGTCAGCCACTAAGGTGATGGATGATGCATATTGCGCCAAACGGCTTTCCTCCCATCTCTAAAACGACGTCAGCTTCACGATGATTAGTTTTAGACACTATTTTCAGATTCAAGTAAATCTAGATACCATTACTGACATGTTAAGTATACTTTTAAAGTCAATGTGTTCGGGTCACATCTATAATTCATCAATAGAACTCTGAGATCCTGGGGGATATAAGGAATTGTGGAGAAGACCATGGATTGCTGAATTTTGAAAGAAATTTATCGAAATCGGCGCATATGTAGCCGGTTTTATTATTATTTTTTGGTTAGCCGGGAAAATCAAACGAAGCCAATTTTTTGGCTACATCGGTTAATATTTGTCAATCACCGACCGATGATGTTACTCAGATTAACATAATGATGACGAAGAAGTATAAGTTCCTGCGTTCCTCAAGGGCTATTGTTGCCTTTTGGAGGATTCTTATTAGAATAATTATCGTATGGGATTGTCGCATTTCCAAGTTCCATAATTTTCCATCAAGACTCACTAGACTTAAAATTAACTCATCCTGTTTGAGCAAGATTATGAAGATAATTGACATGAATTCGATCCATGGTTAACGTTTAGTACGAGTGTAAGAAGGTGTTTACTACTAAATACATGGATATCTTAACTTGTCCTGAGAATTGTATGTGGCTGGTTCGGTTTCAAGTTTGGTACTGGAGATCGATTAGATGGAAGATGTTCCCGTATGTAGTATTCGCACTCCGTGTTTCTACGAATGAGTTTGTAAACTTTGCCCATTTTCTGCACTCGCTCTTCTTTTGTAATAGCGAAGAAAAACAAAGTGTGTGCTAACTATAAAATATATTTCAACTGGACTCCCATGGTACACAGTGACTTCTCATCCATTGGTAAAGCCACAACCTCGACTGAAAAAAATACCTGGCTTTTCCACAGATATTCACGGCTGAACTATAAGCTATTTGAGACCGTTTTCTGGTCGCGCTTTGGAATAGGTATGCTTCTATTTTAATCTCTAAAACCTGTCCACGGAGAGTTGACATTTTCCCGTACTAGGCGAGTCTCCCAGAAACTATTCGCCTGTTTTTTTGCACGTCTACTTTAAAAGTTATTCGCAATAGTGAAGTTTTGATTATATCTGAAAATTCGACTGAACTCCAAGTGAATCTCAAATTTTACTTTGTAAGCTAATCACAATATCACATTGAATCTGGCCGATGGAGCACT